TATAAATAAGTAACTTATAAATAGATTAGAGTAAAAGCTAACTCTATTAGGATTATAATAACTTAGTTCTTAAGTAATACTATAAGAGGTAAGCTTTAAATAAGCTAATATAATAAGGAACTATAAGATAATATATCTACTACCTTAAGATAAAAGAAGCTATATTATAACTATTAATAATAATAGATCTTAAATAAAAGAATAATTTACTTCTATTGATTCTAGAAAAATATAGAATTTATAAGAAACTCTTTATAACTAAATTAGAAATTAAACTACTTAAATATATTAGTTTTAATTATAAAATCCCTTTTAAAGAAGGGAAAGAACTATAATTTAATAAGATCTATAAACTTAACTTAATAGAGATAAAAGCTTTAAATAAATATTTTAAAGAAAACCTTAAGAAAAGTTATATTAAACCTTTAATATTATTAATAAGAAGCTTTATCCTATTTATACTTAAGAAAAATAGAAAACTATAGTTATATATTAACTATTATATACTTAATAAAATAATAATTAAAAATTACTACTTATTACCCCTTATAGATAAGATAAAATAACTTCTATATAGAGCTAACTAGTTTATAACTCTTAATTTTAAAAGAGCTTATAACTTAATCTAAATAAAATAAAGTAAAAAATAAAAAACTACTTTCTAAATATAAAAAGAATATTTTAAATACTTTATTATACCTTTTAATCTCACTAATATACTTATAATATTCTAAAATATAATTAATATAATATAGCTTCTGGCTGTTTATAGTGATTTTTACCTGCTTAGAGCGACAGACCTCCTAACTTTACGCCTCCTAATAATATATATAGCCTTTAGTTATATAATTATAATCTTTAACTACGTCCCTCTCCTAACTACAGCTACACTTATATATATATATATAACCTTATAATCTTTAACTTCACTTTAGTAATAATATAGTTTATAATTACTTAATTACTTAATTACTAACTACTAAACTGTTAACCTATCCTCTCTCTTACATATCACTTACGCTACTATTAA